TCCCCCCCCCCCCCCCCCCACACACACACGCATAGGAAGCGACACGCAGATCACAAGCAGCAAAGTCAATCAACTTCCTTTCCGACGTGTCCAATCAGCTCATAGTACCGTGACCTTGACCTATGACAATCAGGAAGTCAAAAACGGTCACAGTCAGAGTGTGTTTGCCTGGCTCAGGGCACGTGCCCGCTTACCAGGTGAGAATAATTATGTTCCGTCAGTTCAGCCGGGCTGTCAATGGAGAGTTGTGACTAAAGATAGTTTTATTTAAATGAGCCCAGTCTTGAAAAATAGAAACAAATGGATCACAAAATGGTGGAATCAGGCGCTCGTCAATATTTGATCCTAATATGTTTCACGACGCGGTATAGAATCAGGCGCTCGTCAATTCTTGGGCATCAAGAATTATTGGTATTATCTTAAATTTGTTCATTTGATCTTCTTTTGATGAAAAAAAATGCACGCCTATCTTGGTTAGGAGATGAGATATTTGCAATTGAAGGAGATTGGGGTTGCCTGGTTTCAAAGGTAAAATTAGCGAGAAAATGGCCGCCAAAATTTGATGATTTCAAAGCTTGAGTATTCTTGGGAACTGAAAATTTACATTTTATGTGCTTTTAATCAATGTTTTTACGTAAAATCCACACAGAAATATGTTTTTAATAGAACAAAATGTTTTGAGCCAAAAACAACCCCCCCCCCCAAAAAAAAAAAAAAAAAAATTTAAAAAATTGCAACTGTCAAACTTGAGGAAAGATGCCGATATCTTAAATTTCATTATTTTGACGAGGGCCTGATTTCACCACGACGTCTCACATATGGAGTTTTTCAGATCATCTCAAGCCTTGTTCATTTATTTTGATTTTTATGAAAAATATTCCCAATTATCTCAAGTAGAGGTCAACATGTTTACGATTGAAGGAGGTTGGGATCACCTGGTATTAGAAGTAAGAGTTACTTAGAAAATGCCCCCCTCCCACAAAGTTTGTGTCTTCCAAAGCTTGAGTGACTTTTTAAACTGCAATTTGCTATGCCTTTCATCAGCATAAAAACATAAGTAATGTACTTTGAATGAACAAAAAAGTGGTGAGCTTAAATAAACAACAGCAATTAAAGAATACTTTTTTTTTAAATGCCAGGTTGTTTGATTTCGTTATTTTGAAGAGAGCAGGATGTCACCATCATGCCAGAGAAACTATGGTTTTTGTGTGCTGATTTGAATTTAGATAAATTAATGTTAACATTGACAGGACGCTATCCTAAAATAACAAAGTTCTTTCTGCTGAGTACATGTACGCCTAGGTAGTTTTGTTAAATTTGGTGGAAAACATATTTTAAGTGTCACAATATGTCAAGCTTTTTTTAATACAATTCTTTGAATATCTTGATAACGACTCGGAATTATCTTATGATTTGTGGCGTCGGTGGCCTAGTGGTTAGGCTCTCAGACTCGCAACCGTAAGATTGTGGGTTCGAATCCCGTCAGGAGCCCGACGTTGTGTCCTTGGGAAAGGCACTATGCACACATTTTCCTCACTTCACCAAGGTGGAAATGGGTACCCGGCTATAGACAGTGAAAGATCTTGTCAGTTTGCTAGTGTTTGAGTGCGTGAAATCCGCAGCTTGCACTGTATGCTTCCTCGGAAGCTGAGAATGTTTCTGAGTGTTCTCAGAGGGTCTACTGGGGTAATAATAGTTGTAAAGCGCATTGAGCATCCTCTTGAGCATGGATATGCTGCGCTATATAAATGCAATTATGATTATGATTATTATTATTATAATTTTGATAGAGCAGATAGAACATTGGGTTTCTGACTTCATATTATGGTGTCAGTAACTCACGACGGCCAAAAATGCCGGACAGAACTGTATGAATCTAAAATAGTGTTGTCAATGTACTAGTGATGACACAAATGCTCATGACTAATTAAACAGATACAAAGAAATAACCATCTACAGCCCCAACACCCTACACACGCCGCATCTTTCTTTCAGGGGAGCTACCCAGATTTTTGAGAGCCACCAGTGTCAAATCCTTCTTGTGGGTTTCTACCGAGAATCTCAGGTAATTAATTTGATTCTATTAATTCTCTCCTTCTGTCTCCTCCTCTGTCTCTTTCTCTGACGCTTTCTCTTTTTCTCTCTCCTTCTCTCTCTCTCTCATTCTCTTTCTCCTTCTCTCTCTTCCTCTTTCTCTCTCTTCCTCTTTCCCTCTCTCTCTCTTCCCACCCCCCCTCTCTCTCTCTCTCTCTCTCTCTCTCTCTGACGTTCTCTTTGTCTGTCTCTCTTTTCTACCCCATCTCTGTCTTTCTGTCTCTGTCTCTCTCTTTACCCCCCTCTCTCCTCACTCCCTCCCCCTCTCCCTCTCTCTTCTCCTCTCTCTCTCTACCTCTCTTTCTCTATTTCCCTATTCTCTCTCTCTCTGTCTCTCTCTCAGTCTCCCTATCTCTTTCTCCCTATTCTCTCTCACATTGTCTCTATATTTCTATCCCTCTTTCTCTCTGTGAATGCTGGACAATCACTAAAGACAGTGAAAATAAAATAGAAGCAACAGAAAGGTGGTTTCTTAGGAGACTGCTAAGAGTGTCGTGTAGGGAAAAGAAATCAAATGAGATAGTGCTTGATGAAGCCCACGCTGGACGCTCAATTTTAAAAAAACAATCAAGAAACGACAAATGCAGTTTTTGGGACACTTGATATAGACATAAGGGTCTTGAACATCTAGCACTCACTGGCAAAATTGAGGGCTAGTGAGGCAGGGGTAGGCCCAGAACAACATACTTAGGGAACCTAAACAAATGGGTAACAGGGAATGATCAGGGAAACGTAGCTTTTGTAAGAGCATCCGAGCAAAGGAATGGATGGAGAACC